CTAAAAATCAAGCCAGTGTGGGCCAACTTTGTTGCGAACGTATTAATCGGATAGTCAATTTCAAAGCAACCCGGCAGGCATTCATCAAAACATGACGTTTGACTATTGTAAATGCCCAAACGTACCGCCCTGGCACACTTGGCCTCATTGATGCTACACACGGTAACATTATTATAGATTTTCGGCATATAAAAACTAATACAGCCGCAATATTTCCACGACAACAGGGCGACACATTCCATTTCACAATTTCTCTGAGTGTAATGGGCGAAAAATTTCAATTTTCCCTCATCATGAAATAGACATTTACGCAATCTCTTTGACATTGCCAATAGTTGTTTATGTGATTCGGTTTTAAACGGTATTATTCGTATATTTGTTTCTTTACCCGGTTCGATAAAAACTCCAGTGTCATGAACATTCGGCGTCTCGTTGGGACTATGTAAGGCAAATTTAAATCCAATACTATTCGATGAGGAACAATAATATTTATCCTCTTGAACATCTATCGCCACTGAGAGGCCCAATGATTCTCCAACACCAGGAACTTTTTTCGGATAATAATTTTTGGGTAAATTTTTTGAGTATCCTGCCTCGGAATACCAATCGATTGGTGTTTGTACCGGTGTAACATTTGGATAGGATAAGGGAATGCTAGAAATAAATTCGAAGAGATATATTTTTTACTAGTCTTTCACTTTTTTAATGGTCAAAATTTACTTACTGTGAAACATACATAAACATTGGATGCAACATATTGAAGGTGCAACACAATCCTTCATCGGTTACCAAGGGATAAAACAGATGACTACAGTTGTAATATTTGCCACCAAAACGGCATTCGACCAACATATCCTTACATGGTTGGGAGATCTGTAGAAAACATAATTGTAATGAATAATTTAAGGCTTGATCTCGATTTGTACCCACATTAACTATAAATTGCTCCACATGATTCCAGTTGGTAATTGACTTGATCGCTGTCTGATTTACTTCACGTTTACATAGCAGCTGAACGATTGTAAAATCTGTAGAATTCCTGTAATAAATAATTAGAAATATTGCAATACAGTGTGGAAAGAATTTTCGTAAAAATAACTTGAAGACAAAGATCTGACTATGACTACACCTCGAAATATTAATTGAAGAGCCATTATCAGAGTTAAAATCTATATTCCATGTTCGTGTGTTCAGCTTGATAAATTAAAGATATGGACCATCCTCTATATATCGAAACCTAACATGAATGGAATTATGAAAATATTCAATAATTTTTTGTGCTAATAAAGTTTTTTTGACGACTATCCTCAATTGGCTCAATTTTGTACATTCAGATTTTTACAAGACGTTCGCCTTCATTCTTTTACCATGGTGTTGAAAAATACGAATGGGAACCAAAATGTTTGAAATAGATCAAAGGTTTATCCAAGAGAGTGCCAATATATGTGTAGTACCAAACGGGATTTGGTGCTGCCATGTTTAGCATAAATCTATATGCTTTTGTTTCGTTTGCAGCTGCGGATTGTGGCAATATTAACCTACATGAAAAATATTATTCTAAGTGGATACGAGTACTTCCACCCGTCGTATTAGATATGAAAGAAATAACAATTGCTAGGAGTAGAATTTACTCGATTTCGAGAGTATTTTACTCCATACTTTACTAATAATAGAGATAATAGAGTATACTCGATTCATTTTCCAACGGTGCTCTAAATATGACTCCTTGCAGATTTTCAGCTATTTTCTTTAAACAACTAGCACAAACACTCGCATATTATTGAATGTTTTTATTAAAATACGTGCTTTGGAATTTAGTATGAAGCTTTCCAAAATTCAGATGGGGAAATATTTGAAAACGAACGACCTTTTAGATTTTTTTTTCGGAGTATGCCAAAATTAGACGAAACGGATGGAACATTTGAGGCACAATCGTGATCAACATTTACATGAAATAATCTTCAGATAATAAATTATGAACCGTATTACTGATTATGTGTGTATTTTTTAACTTTCTTGTAATTCATAAAAAATAACGTTTCAGGTCCCATTTATATGTTCGTCCGATTTTATGTAAGTGGTACCCCAACACTCAATGTTTATGCGACTGACATGAAATTTTACAAAGCGTACCGAATTGGGCCTATATAAATGTGTATTAAGTTTTGTTTTTAATGGGTTCAGATTTAGATATAGCTCGAATATATATTTTCGTCCGATTTCGTGGAATTATTCCCAATGTGTCTTTCTTTACTGGTTTTGGTATTAATATCATACAATGGACCAACTTTTATTATACAAGAACACAAAAATATTTCTTTTCAGTATTTCGAAAATACTTACCTTGAAAACTTCTCCGCTGTATGATTTAAAGCTTGATTTAAATTGCAAATTGTCACAGCCGGGAATGGTTCGTCAGTGATGGCAGTTGATTGAGGATTAATACCCACAATTACTGGGGTATTGGCCCATTTCTGATAGACATGGACAATTAAATACACTGCAGCAAATATCACCGTTACAACAGATACACCAAAGAAGCATCTGGAATTATAAATATATTTTTTTAAGGAAAGAAATAAGGTAGGAAAGGACTGATTTTATGATACGTTTCGCCATTTTCGTCTTATGGAGGAGATGCTCTAAATCTTAAATGATAATTGATAATTTTAGAGGACATATAAAATTGAATGCATATAAATATAAAATAAATATAAAATACAATATTTTCATATAAAATTGAAAATATTGTAGTTGGGCCCGCCATGACCCAAATGTATTCCATGGGGTTTGTGTAAAAGTTTTCGAATATTTATGAAACGGCACTCTGTCATGTGTGATATTATGTTGTACGTCTAGCCCCTTTTCCGATATAAAATGTTCAAGATATTCATTGGGCTGGTAAATGAATAGCAATATTTGTTAAGGTTTGCAACTTTTAAAATATATATGAAGATTCAAAAAAGAAGGAAAGAATTTCGAAAATTTGTTTGTTATTATTTTGTTGTGGTTTTTTGTTTGTGATTAAAGAAAAATCCTTATTGTTGATGGCGAGCATGATAACTCCTTACTGGAATCCGAAAATTCCAACGGTGTTAGAAAGAGTACATGTCAGGATCTCGTATGAACTGTTGACATCGCTCAAAAATTGTGGACCATTGACTCTTTGGGAAAATCGCCATATAAATAACAACTATTCCTTCCTTTTTATACCATCCACCATAGTATAGAGAGTATATTAAGTTTGTTTTTCCGTTTCTAACTCACCGAAATAATCATTTCCGACCCTATTAAGTATATATATATATTCTTGATAAGCGTAAAATTCTATGACGATTTAAGCATTTCCGTCTGTCTGTTGTAGTGACTCTAGCCTCTAAACGAATTGAGAAAGTTCGCAAAAATTATTTTTTTTTTTAATTTAGGTCCACTTTTTCTGGTAGCCCCCAAATAACGTTACACCCAATTTTCAGTTTTTGGGGTTTTGACCACATTTTCCGCCGAATTGGTCGTAATTTAGTACTTTGAGTTCTTGTTGGGTAGCAAATCGTGTTAAAAACTCAAACCGGTATTTAGGCATCTCTCCCATATAATGATAAATTTAACCTAAAGTAAAGAATTGAGATACAAAACTACAATATTTGGTCCGAAATTGACATATATATGACAACCCCAAATATTCGCTAATTTCTACACTATGTAATCAATATCCCCCATAAAATCCCCAATAAAATTGCTGAAATTTGTATTTAGTGGTTCACATAAATCGATTTGTAGAATTATCGGTCCGTTTTTTGGTTCGACCCGGGCGAACTTAACGAATCCAAAGTTCGGCCCGGGCGAACTCAACGCTGTTTTCACTTGTTTTCTTGTTTTTGTATACTGAAGGATTTAGCATTCGAGTGGCATTTCAGATTCCTTTCTTCCAGAATGTTCAAAGACTTTGTTCAATTTTATGTATGTTGAAGTTCCTAGGAACTTCACTTACTTACTTAAGTAAGTAAGTATGTGAAGTTCCTAGCCAGGTTTTTAAAATGAGTATGAGGAATTCATGTTCTTCCCCATGAAAGAATCAAAACACTAAAAGTTTAATCCAATTTCTGAACAATATCTTAGTTTGCTTAAAAATAACCCACTATTGACGGGACTGCTCAAAGTGTAAGGTATCAAAACTCGATTATTAATCACTACTTACCTTTCACTTGGCTTCTAATATAGATCCACAACATACTTCATTCCATGTATGGAAAATAATTAACTGAATTAAGAAATATTTATGGAAAATTTGAAGAATGGAATGTTTACAGATGATCTATAGAAAGGTGCCGTTTTGGATGGACATTTTTTGGACAGGCTGAAGTATGGAGTTATAAAATAAATGACCAAAGGATCTTTTACTAATCGAGCTCCAAAAGGAAATATTTCTATTGCAATTGATTCAAGGTGTAAGATATCAAAATACAATGCCGTTTTTAACTTTCGATTAAAAGAAGTCCTACTTACCTTTCACTTGGCTTCAAATTCGGATCCACAATATACTTCATGCCATGCAGCGTAGTTTGGCGACAAAATTCTTTGGTATTTTGCCAAAAGATTTCCCGTACACTTTGAGTTCCATAGATTTGGCCAAATTCCCGGATTTTCTTGATGTTTTTCCAAAGCAGCATTTCACCGAAATAAAATATCCTTCAACGAACTTCAAGGCACTTCACAACACTTTGAATTTCCTAGTGAAATGCATACCTTTATATAATAAAATTCTCAATTCTATTATTTTCTTTAGGAAATACACATTACGACTAACGAAAATATTTACCCACATATTACCATTGGCTAAATATGTTCACTTACTATTTCCCTTTATTTCCCAAAGAAAACAAAAAAACATTCCTTGGTGTCTATTACAACATATTGCACTTTACTTTCGATTACATTTTATTAAATTACATAAACATATATTATTGTTGTTGTTCTAGTTTATTTTTGATAATAAAATTTGTTTATTTGGATTTATTATAACCTCGATTACTGTTCCATGACGGGCGTTTATTAAAAATATCATTATCCAATTCCGGACTCTGCCGACGACCCATAATAAAATTTGGGTGTGGAAACATTTGTAATTTTTTCGATTTCGTCAAATGGTCGGGTATACGCATAATTGTCCTTTCAGTTGGACTTACAAAGCGAACCTGATAGTCGCGGACATCTTGTGGAGGTTTCGATTTGGATTTGGACTGATTTAGGCGATCATGTTTTTTGATTTTGTGATAAGGACGCAATATGGCATAGTAAATAAATTCGGCAATCGATATAAAACTGAAGCCCATAAAGAGGCCCATCAGACCTCCGACACTGGCTGCAAGGAGAAGAAAAAAATATCATTATTTCAAATTCTATTCAAGTCATTCGAAAACTCACACAAAAAATCTGTAATTCCCACAAATTCCGTCTGCTTGGTGCTGCGAAAGGTGTTATCGGTGAAATAGAAATGTGCCACACCCATACTCTTCTCAGCATAATCACTTGCCATATTCTTAACCAATTTATTGGAAATTTCAAATCCCTCATGCGAAATGGGCGCGGAGAAGAAATCACTATAGAAATTCAAATCAAAGCAGCTTGGCCAACACAAATGTTGACAATCTTCCAATACGGCTCGTGACCTATTCCTATTGTGTTGTGCCACTTGTTTCACGCATGGCGTATCGATAATACCACAAATCTTGGTGTTATTCTCTATCAATGGCATATAATAGGCCAAACAATTACAACGCTCCAGTAAACGACGCGCTTGACATTCCATCTCACAATTCCGTCCATTATAATACGAAAAATAAGTCAAATGTTCCTCTCCATCAAACAGACATTGACGATATTTTCGATTGATTGATTTCAAATTCAAGGCAGCTTCAGTTTTATCGGGTCGTATACGAATTTTCGTCTCATAGCCTGCCGGCAAAAGGGTACCAATTTCTCGTACATGTGGCACTTCAGCCGGACTATGTAAAGCCATTTTAATACCTACACTTGATGTTGAGGAGCAATAATAGTCATTGATATCCACATCAAATGTGATGCTAAGACCAAGTGTCTGTCCGGTACCAGCCGCTGTACGTGGATAGAATTTGTCGGGTAAATTATCAGGATAACCTTTTTCAGGATTCCAATTCACAGCAACGGCATCATCCGTGTAGGGTAGCTCACGTTTTCTGGGTACGCTGTGGAATAGATAGAATTGATTTAGATTATTAGGATTTGGTATTTTTTTAGCTCATTGACACATACTTTTCTTTGTACATATATTTCGGATCTAATTGATTGAATACACAGCATAATCCCTCATCTGTTACAATGGTTCGAAAAATATCTTTACAGTTGTAATCCAGTCCACCAAAGTTACAACCAATTATCATCTCTTCACATGGTTGGGAAATCTGTAAGAAGAGAATCATATATGAAAAATATTCTTTAAAAAATCCACGCCTTCTGATAGTCCATGAAAAAATATTCTTTAAAAAATTCACGCCTTCTGATAGTCCATGAAAAAATATTCTTTAAAAAATTCACGCCTTCTGATAGTCCATGAAAAAATATTCTTTAACAAATTCACGCCTTCTGATAGTCCATGAAAAAATATTCTTTAAAAAATTCACGCCTTCTGATAGTCCATGAAAAAAAAAAAGCTTTTAAAAAATCACGCCTTTAAAAAATCACGTCCATGAAAAAGTATTCTTTAAAAAATCACGCCTTTAAAAAATCACGTCCATGAAAAAATATTCTTTAAAAAATCCACGCCTTCTGATAGTCCATGAAAAAATATTCTTTAAAAAATCCACGCCTTCTGATAGTCCATGAAAAAAAATTCTTTAAAAAATCCACGCCTTCTGATAGTCCATGAAAAAATATTCTTTAAAAAATCCACGCCCTCTGATAGTCCATGAAAAAATATATTCTTTAAAAAATCCACGCCTTCTGATAGTCCATGAAAAAATATTCTTTAAAAAATCCACGCCTTCTGATAGTCCATGAAAAAATATTCTTTAAAAAATCCACGCCTTCTGATAGTCCATGAAAAAATATTCTTTAAAAAATCCACGCCTTCTGATAGTCCATGAAAAAATATTCTTTAAAAAATCCACGCCTTCTGATAGTCCATGAAAAAATATTCTTTAAAAAATCCACGCCTTCTGATAGTCCATGAAAAAATATTCTTTAAAAAATCCACGCCTTCTGATAGTCCATTAAAAAATATTCTTTAAAAAATCCACGCCTTCTGATAGTCCATGAAAAAATATTCTTTAAAAAATCCACGCCTTCTGATAGTCCATGAAAAAATATTCTTTAAAAAATCCACGCCTTCTGATAGTCCATGAAAAAATATTCTTTAAAAAATCCACGCCTTCTGATAGTCCATGAAAAAATATTCTTTAAAAAATCCACGCCTTCTGATAGTCCATGAAAAAATATTCTTTAAAAAATCCACGCCTCTGATAGTCCATGAAAAAATATTCTTTAAAAAATCCACGCCTTCTGATAGTCCATGAAAAAATATTCTTTAAAAAATCCACGCCTTCTGATAGTCCATGAAAAAATATTCTTTAAAAAATCCACGCCTTCTGATAGTCCATGAAAAAATATTCTTTAAAAAATCCACGCCTTCTGATAGTCCATGAAAAAATATTCTTTAAAAAATCCACGCCTTCTGATAGTCCATGAAAAAATATTCTTTTATAAATCCACGAATTTTATAGGCCATGAAAAAATATTCTTGAAAAGATCCACGCCTATTGTGAGTCCATGAAAAAATATTCTTTAAAAAATCCACGCCTAATGTGAGTCCTTGAAAAAATATTCTTGAAAAGATCCACGCCTATTGTGAGTCCATGAAAAAATATTCTTTAAAAAATCCACGCCTAATGTGAGTCCTTGAAAAAATATTCTTGAAAAAATCCACGCCTTCTGATAGTCCATGAAAAAATATTTTTAAAAAATCCACGCCTTCTGATAGTCCATGAAAAAATTTTTTTAAAAAATCCACGCCTAGGATAGTCCATGAAAAAATTTTTTTAATAAATCCACGCCTTCTATAGTCCATGAAAAATCTTTTTTTTAATAAATCCACGCCTTGGATAGTCCATGAAAAATCTTTTTTTTTAATAAATCCACGCCTAGGATAGTCCATGAAAAATCTTTTTTTTTAATAAATCCACGCCTTTAAGTCCAAAAAATCTTTTTTTAATAAATCGCCTTCTGATAGTCCAAGAAAAAATATTTTTTTAAAAAATCCACGCCTTCTGATAGTCCATGAAAAAATATTTTTTAAAAAATCCACGCCTTCTGATAGTCCATGAAAAAATTTTCTTTAAAAAATCCACGCCTTCTGATAGTCCATGAAAAAATATTTTTAAAAAATACACGCCTTCTGATAGTCCATGAAAAAATATTATTTAAAAAATCCACGCCTTCTGATAGTCCATGAAAAAATATTCTTTAAAAAATCCACGCCTTCTGATAGTCCATGAAAAAATATTCTTTAAAAAATCCACGCCTTCTGATAGTCCATGAAAAAATATTTTTAAAAAACGCCTAGGATAGTCCATGAAAAATCTTTTTTTAATAAATCCACGCCTTCTGATAGTCCATGAAAAAATATTCTTTAAAAAATCCACGCCTTCTGATAGTCCATGAAAAAATATTCTTTAAAAAATCCACGCCTTCTGATAGTCCATGAAAAAATATTCTTTAAAAAATCCACGCCTTCTGATAGTCCATGAAAAAATATTCTTTAAAAAATCCACGCCTTCTGATAGTCCATGAAAAAATATTCTTTAAAAAATCCACGCCTTCTGATAGTCCATGAAAAAATATTCTTTAAAAAATCCACGCCTTCTGATAGTCCATGAAAAAATATTCTTTAAAAAATCCACGCCTTCTGATAGTCCATGAAAAAATATTCTTTAAAAAATCCACGCCTTCTGATAGTCCATGAAAAAATATTCTTTAAAAAATCCACGCCTTCTGATAGTCCATGAAAAAATATTCTTTAAAAAATCCACGCCTTCTGATAGTCCATGAAAAAATATTCTTTAAAAAATCCACGCCTTCTGATAGTCCATGAAAAAATATTCTTTAAAAAATCCACGCCTTCTGATAGTCCATGAAAAAATATTCTTTAAAAAATCCACGCCTTCTGATAGTCCATGAAAAAATATTCTTTAAAAAATCCACGCCTTCTGATAGTCCATGAAAAAATATTCTTTAAAAAATCCACGCCTTCTGATAGTCCATGAAAAAATATTCTTTAAAAAATCCACGCCTTCTGATAGTCCATGAAAAAATATTCTTTAAAAAATCCACGCCTTCTGATAGTCCATGAAAAAATATTCTTTAAAAAATCCACACTTTGAGATAGTCCCTGGTCATAGAAAAAATATTCTTTGAAAATCCACGCCATAATATTCCTTGATTTTCTATAAAAACTCACGTCCGGATAGAGCGTAAAGACATATTTTTAGAAATTCCACTCTGTACTTACATTCACAATAAAATCTTCAAATAAATTCCAATTGATAGCCGATGCAATTGTTTGATTGACTTCTTTTTTGCACAATAGTTGCAGCATTGCATATTCACTGGAAAATCTAAAATATACCAAATAATATTTTTGTTATTCACAACACTTCAACACCCATTTAAATTTCAATTCAACTCACTCATTATACACTTCGGCCCTCTTCTTTGAAGCCTGATTTAAATTACAAAATGTTACCGCCGGAAATGGTTCATTGACAATAAAACTTGGCTGCGGACTAATACCGACAATAACCGGCGTGGAACGCCACTTGGCATAAACATCGCGTATAAAGAATATCGACAGCAGGACAACCGCGACAAATGATAATGCAAAAAATATCCTTTCACCAGGATACAACTGCTCATCGACAACATATTTTAGACCGTGCAATGTTGAATGTGTACAAAATTCTTCAGTATTTTCACTGAAAACCTGTTTCAAATTAACCGAACTTTCACGTTTCATCAGCAACGGTTTATCCAGACTTGTTCTCAAGGGAACATTTAATTTGGGACGATTCAAAGTACTCATAGTTCGAAGTTGTAAGCGATACTGATAGCTGATGATACCTGGGATTCATTCATATACCCATGTTCTTGTTGTTGATTTAATTGAACTTGATTCGGTAATTACACAGCGGTGTAATTTTAAGTGTTGGTGCATTTAGTTTAGCAAGGAGAGGTGGTATGGAAGGTTGTGTTGCCTTGATAACCTTAAATGTTTGTTTATATTGCATGTTGAACTTTTCAATCGAAAAAAAGAAAATTGTTCTCTTTTTTTTAAACGAAAATAAATAAAATGCATTGGCTCCTCAGTGTCCAATTGAAACCCTTTGTCAATAAATGTATCAATTAGAATGAACAATATTACGTGATTGAGTAATCATGAATGAATCGTTGTTGTCTAAAAAACACTCATGCTCATTCTATCATTTTATAGCGGAAGGTATATCTTGAACTACTTGAAATATCTAAAATATCAAAATAATATTCCATGTCAATTAAGTAATTTGTATGTGTTCGGGCTTTTCAGGGAGAACGACATGGTCCCAATCCACATGCCGGAAATGTGTTAGAAATTAAGAAGTTTGTTCCATCCTGATATTATTTGTACTAAGACCAAAAGTGTTTCCCTTGACAGGAGTTGTTCCTCTGCTGCTATGGATGAAGTCAGAGACCAGATTGTAGCACTTATACAATCTTGTCCTTCTTCTACATATGAATGCATAATATTCAGACCTGTTCGATATGCGCAATGATCTAGTGATTCATTCTTTTAACTTCGGAGCTAACTCTCTAGATTATGAAGATCACTTCTGACGTGCCTCTGCGAAAGAAGTCTAAACATAAGGCCGTGTCTTTATAAAGATGTTATCATAAGGAGATATCCTCTTACTATTCTCGGGATGGAATTCTGGCAGGTCTGAATGTTGTTCAACTAATTATGACAAACATTCAAAAACTACACTAGCGCAGTATAGCTCAACACTGACCGGGATACGGCTTTATAAGAGGTCAACAAGTTATTTTGTTAGGGTCTCCACTACGGCCACCAATAACTTGAGGACTTTTAGGTGACTAATTCTATATTTAAAAACTACACTAGTGCAGTATAGCTCAACGCTGACCGGGATACGGCTTTATAGGAGATCAACAAGTTATTTTGTCAGGGTCTCCAGTACTGCCACCAATGACTTGAGGACTTTTAGGTGTGTAATTCTATATTCTCGTTACGAATGCTGTCACACCCAATTTCTTGGTGTAATTGGTGGTCCCATAAACTTTTATGTTCAAAGTGGGCTTCATTTCAGTGATAAATTGATAGGCTACAGAATTACTGGCGGATATTCTCTTATTCCTTAGTCCAATTATGGGGCCCGATTCCATGATCGTACAGTCAGTCATCTGCATAAATTACGATATCTATACCTTTTGGAAAGGAATTTGAAAAATGTAGATGTTGAGCAATTCCGTCACGTCCCTCTGACTAGCGTCCATATATAGTTGATTATTCAAGGTTTCAAACACGGCCAGATGGTGGTATACTGTATATATATTCTCGAACAGTTCGAAATGGAATCAAATACCTCCGATAGGTCATGTGCCACATTATCTGTTCGGTATGTGATAATATTGCAGAAAAATTCCTCTAAGCTGCACGAGGATCTGAGAAGCGAACCGATTACTTGTCAACCAGTTTTCGGTAGTTCAGTTCAGAAGTCGGATAATGACGAATAGTGGGAAATGCGATTTTATGTGGATACAACATTTAACAGACCTGGTGCCACTGTGAGAATGTGTGGCAATCACATTTTATCCTTGGTGGAGTATTCACATGCACCAACAAAATGTGTTGATAATTTACTCAGCCAGAGCCCCGGTAACCCATTAGACATTAATGCATTAAAACATGGACATTGAAGCCCTTAGTACTTACTTAGGTGGCTTGTGACATTACAAGAGTTCTTGATCCGAGCTTAACAATTTGAAAGACCATTTCCGAAATGTTGTCTTCTACTTGATCTTAATCGATTTTTTATCGAATTCTTTCTCACAATATGACCTAGCCAACGTAGTCTCTGCAGCTCAATACGTTTAATTATGTCGATGTCCGAGAATAGATGATACAACTCATAGTTCATTCGACGGCGATATTCGCTGTTCACATAGATCTTTCGGAGAATTTTTCTCTCAAATACTCCAAGAGCTGCCTCATCTGCTTGCGTATGTACCTATGCTTCAGATCCATACAACAGCACGGGTAGTAGCGCCTTGTAGAGTGTGTATTTGGTCTGGTGAGAGGTGGCCTTGTTTGAATTGTTTACTCGAGACCATAGCAGCATTTGTTTCCCAACGCTATTATTCTTTAGATTTCAAAGCTAATGTAAATAGTTTTGTTTATGGCGGTACCGAGGTATACAAAATCGTTCATTACATCGAAGCTGTAGTTTTCAAGTTCCACAGTTAGTCAAACTCTACAGGACGTCTTGCGCGTTGATATCATCAGCTTGGTATCCTCGCCATTTACTGCCAGTCCCACTTTGGCAGACTCCTTCTCAATTCGCTCGATGCTGGCTTTTACCGCTCGCAATTTTCGACCCATTATGTCGATGTTGTCGGCATAAGGAGTAACATATGATGTTTGGTGTACAGAGTACCATTTCTGTTCACATTTGCATCTCGTATGACATTGTCCAGCAGGATGTTAAAAAGGCCACACGACAAACTGTCACCATTTCTGAATCCTCGTTTGGTATTAAATGGATCCGAGGTGTCCTTCCCGACTTTAACTGCTGACCTTGTGCCAGTCAATGTTATCCTGCATAGCCGTATTAATTTTGCAAGAATGCCGATATAGATAGGATAGAGCTGCCGAATGTGGCTTTATAGTCGGCGAACAGGTGGAATGTGCCGATGTGTTTTTCGTTGATCTTTTCCTGGATTTGGCGCATGGTGAAAATCTTGTCAATGGTGGATTTGTCATGTCTGAAGCCGCATTGGTATGATCCAATAATGTCATTGACAATTGGCTTCAGTCGCGAAGCCAATTGCGGGCTGTTACCGCTCGCAATGTTCCACCCACTATATCGATGTCGTCAGCGTATGGAGTACCATATGCTGAATCTCGTATAACCTTAAACCCCTTAGTACTGGTATTCTATGGGTATAAAGTCGGATGCGGTAATTAAGTTGGATGTCGGAGTCTGGTTTACAGAGTACCATTTCTGTTCACATTTGCATCTCGTATGACCTTGTCCAGCAGGATGTTAAAATGTCCACACGACAAACTGTCACCATTTCTGAATCCTCGTTTGGTATTAAATGGCTCCGAGGTGTCCTTCTCGACTTTAACCCTTAGGTATAAAGTCGGATGTGGTAATTAGGTCGGATGTCGAAGTCTGTAGACGAAGATAAAGAGGTTGTCGGGCTATGGCAGTCATATCTTATCCTTGTGGAGACATAGGCCAGCGTTTTAACCTCTCCAATGATTCGTTATGGGAATTGGAATTGCCTAGTATTAGGTTGTTAATGTCGTCTAAAAGTGGGCTAATATCCGTAAATAACTGTTTGCACTGTCATTATATTATATTTTTACGTGGTTAAAAAATATTTACGTTAAATCGGTATACGCAATACATTGGACACTTATTTTCTGGCAAGACATGCAGAACATAATTTCCATCGTATTCTTCAATGCAATTTAATTCTGAAGAACCTCGAAATGCATCGATTTTCAATATCGTTGCATCTCACCAGGATTGATCTGTAATGAATGAGATTCATAAACTTTTCAAAAACCAAGTTCCAGGGATTTTTACCATCCCGATAGACTCTGCTTGAAGTCTTTGATTTTTTCAATTCAGTAAACCGCATACCTTGGAAGTTATGATTAACATTCAATGATTTCAGTGTACTGACTTTCTTTGGAGAATTTTCATAGCTAATGCTTTATCCTTTCATATTTTCTGTCATTCGTATACTAACCCCCCAATGACCGCGAACATTCTTCCTAATTACATCCTTTGCATGTGTATTAGCCACCGTTGCTTTTTATTAACATTAACCAAATTGAAAAGTAAACATGGTTATCGGGATCGCCTGTCGGAAATTAGCAGACGGTAAGTTGTCACGTGTTTGAATGTCACAAATACTTTTATTAACGTTGTTGATATTTGAACAAACTATTCTTTCCTACGCATTGTTTGTACGTTTATTACTAAAACATGAATGATGGAAAATAACAATTACAAGTTGTGGGTTAACCCTAGTAGTTGGTGGGTTAATTTGTAGCCAATTTAGTTGTTAACTTAGTTAAGTGTTGAAATTATGTTTATAATTTTGTTGTGCTTCTATTTATATGTCGATTGTTGACATGTGAAATTTAATTTCGGAAACAAAATAACTCTTTCAGTAAAACAATTTGTTGAATCCTTTTTATTGATATTGATTGATAAAAAAAGCGGGATGACTATCAATGGCATACTACGTTGAATACAAAAATATAATAAATGTTTATTTTTACTTAAGTTTAGCAATTCAGGTCATTGTTCTTCCTGTAATTAGTTTTATCTCGACGAACGGATTGAATCTAGTAATGATGTTCATTATACAATTGATTTTATGTCGACGACCTGAGTGCTTCTACTAATGTCTGATTCTCTGATACACTCTATCATATGGTGGAGATTAAGCATGTCATTTTTGAATTTTTGGAACAAAATATAAGGAATAAAATTCTAAAAGAATTTTCCATACCGACACTACCACTATAAATCAAATAAGGATTCCAATTTGAACAGTTCTTTTCAATGCAATCGCATGGCTCCGCTGGCCTATATCGTTTTTACCACAATGTGAACTAAAATTAATTTAAGTTGGGAAACTTGGCAGGAACTTCCAAAAGTCAATAATCAGCTACGTAGCAGATGTTCCTCCATAGACTAAAATTAAGAGTGATTCAAAAATTTTAAATTTTAAGCTATAGTCAGTGGTTGCTTATCATGGATAAGCAAGAACCTCAGAACGGAAAAGTAGCATACGGTTTTATTGAATTACCCACTGTAAGGACATCAAGTTCGCTCTTGTGTTATTTGGCAGTTTTCATTTGGATGACGGGTTCATAACCATGAACCCATGATTCGTCACCAGATATTACTATTACTGCTCTGGATCTAATAAATGAAGTAGTCTGGCAACCCGTTATTTCACTCGGCTCAGGCCACTTTCCTATCATTGTCTCCGTCGACAGACCACCCTACTTTATTACCTCTGAACGCCATACTTTCCTGAATCACAGGAAAGCTGATTGGCCTGATTTCAGAGAGTTTACCAATATCCGCTTCAGAGCGCTGCCCATTCCCTCTGATCCTCGGGTAGCTGAGAGAAATGTCCGTAGAATCATAATTTACAGCAGAGGCGAAAGTACTGGTCAATGAGCGTGATGAGCTCCGTCGTACGACCCCTGAAGATACGGAAAAGTAGAACGAAACATGTAAATTGTGAGCAGTGTTGCCAAAACTTTGTTGATAAAAAATGCTAGATTTGGTTTAAAAAAATGCTAGAAAGTGCTAAAAGTGCTAAATGTTTTTATACAACATAATGAGATATATATTACTTTAAAATTCATTATGCCCTTCACAAGGCGGGTGGGTGAATATTAAATTTGTTTCCATCACCTGGAAATATTCTCCTAAGACCCCATATATTCTTAATCAGAATAAAATTCTATGTCAATTTAGCCATCGGCCGAATTTGAAATTGTGCATATACATTGCTACTACTCCAAGAAGGTTTGGTATTTAAAATAGGATATATCGGTCATTTTTAGGGTAGCCAATATTCTATATTTTGCAGATCTTTTGTATTTTGCATTCTCCATGGGTAGAAAGTCTTCCTACTAAAAAGGTTCATTGGTTCATTTTTAGAAGAGCCTCTTTTTGTGATAAATATCATTTTTAAAAATTAACAATTTCGAACAAGTTTCGGTTTAGCCTCCATAGAGCGATACCTCCATTATACAATAGTTTAGTCCTGTGAGCACGTTTTTCAAACGAAGGCTTCAATGGCTCCAATTTTATATTTTGCATTCTTATTTTGCAGAAAATCTTCCTACTAAAAATTATCAATGTTGGTCCATGTTTCAGGATAGCCACCAGAGAGCGGTACTCCCACTATTTGGCATTTTCAACCGAATAGACTATAATTTGATACTTTTGATTCTAAGGGGATGGCAAAACTTCCTACAAAAAATGTATACCGTACCATATACTACTATAGTACCTATATAACGGTACCATTTCGGTACATTTTGGGAAAATAAAGAAAATTATAAATTTAGATCAAGATTTGATATTTCGACGGTTTTAGCCGCATTCTTGTAGGATCGCACAATGTTCTACAAAGGTCAATGTTGGGACCAATTTCCCATTAAAAGTTTGCATCCTATTTGGGTAATTTTACAGTTTAAGAATCGAAGTGGCTGTAATTTAAAAAATCGAATTAGGTATATTATTGACATGGACCGGCCGAATTTTAAGGCTATGTTACTTATTTAAATATGATCGGACATTTTTTTAACATGGGCAAATCAAACTTATACCATGAAATATAGATACGTTTCAATGCGTCATTGTGAAATCGAAAAACGGCAAATTTTTTTTAATCCAAAAATACCCAACATTAAAAAAAAAACGCTGAAAAAAATAAAAGTGCTAAACAAGTTTAAAAAGTGCTAAATCTAGCACTAAAAGTGCTAAATTGGCAACACTGATTGTGAGCAACTGTTATTCACTCTAAATGAAAAGATGGCAGGACGAATTCTAGATGAAAAGATGGCAGGACGGCTTTCACATTTAACGACGTAACTATGACAGACCAGAAAAGGGGCGCGTGTTATTTTAACCGGCAATTCATTGAATGACGCCGCATAAGGGTACTCCGAGCCTATGAGGTATCACCACATTTTACGAAGAAAGACGTTGCAGAAAGACGCTAAGTCTTCCAAAGATATTGGTACTTAATGATTAAACAACTGGATGAACCCAAAGTAAAGTATTTAACATCAGCCATCAACTTGTTGTTAACCACGCACATAGTTCCTGAAGCCTGAAAAATATGCAGGGAGATCCTGTTACTGAAGCTTAGCAAGGATGCCAGCAGGGGTGAATGTATATGTCGGTTGCACTCCTATTGTCGGTTGCCACTTGAAGCGCTACATCGCAGCGCTATAGAAGCAGTTTGCAACAGCCACACTGTTCACCACATGCCGCGTTTCCACGACAGAGGGGTCTACGACCCGAAACGACCCGAGTCTTACTCGGCCAACGTCTGTCACCTCAGCCCATTGTGTAAAAGCAATAGGGCTGCTACAACAACAACAACAACAACCACATGCCACAGTCACACTGTTCGCGCTGATCATAATAGTCGATGGAGAACTGATTCATACTACAAACTACACCAAAATACTGGGGTAACGTTCGATAGCATTTTCAAGTCGTTTGTGCAAGCCACATTTATGCGATAAGCTAAGAAGTAGGAACAGGGGCCTCAAATCCCTAGCTGGCTGACAAAGAAACCTTGTTGACCTCTTATAAGGTAATAGGAGGGTCAGTGGTAAGCAGATCTGCCAGAATGCTGCCCTGTGAGCTTCAATAGGACGAAGATCTCCTTTGAGACAACGATATGTTGTCAATACCGTATTTAATTGGGTGTTATTGTCGTGAACACACCTGTCATAGCCTTATGAGTAGGCCATAGGAATAGACCACCCAGGCTTCCCCACCCACTGAGATCTCCATGATATATAGAGAGGTCCAAATGTGCAAGCGTGAATCTCTAGATCAACAGACCCAGCTGTTCAGACGTATAACCTCATTAAAAAGATTCCTGATTCTGCATTGATCTGATCAATAAATCAAGTGCAAATGTTATTGCTGCCGATCTTTTCATACTACTTATTTTGGACCTGTCAATGGCTAACAATTTCCCTTACCTATAAGCTAGTCAGCGAATACAATTACCTCCAATTCTAACCCCTTTTTTTTACATATCTTTAATAGAAGTCTATTGAAAATTCCTAATATTATTCTAGGTTCGAAAACCTTTCCATTGTTTTTCGGTCATGTCGTCATGTATTCAATTAGGTCCTTATAGAAAATTATGAGGGATTTATCACCAAGTATACACAGTTCGAAATTATATTAAGAAACACTGTGTTGTTGCTGCAATTTTCAAAACTCTTGTTTTCTATATGTAAACATATTTTTATTTGAATTTTATTTTTATAAAAAGTACTTTCTTCATTATATATGCCTAATAATGTTATACATTGTGTTCGCTTAATTATTGAATTGAAAAAAGTCCACTTGTAAATCCAATAGAGGATTCGCCGAAGTATTGTCAACCACATTTGGCAATGTCTCTTTCATATGTACCGCTTCGACAGCATTATCACTGACATGATCAATATGTGGCGGCAAAAGATTGGCTACCACTGTTGTGGTATTGGTATTTGAGGTATCGCTAGCACACACCGCAGTAGTTTGAATTTTTCTAATATCCGTTTGTACCAAATCATCAACGGCTCTCAATAGACTTTCTTCGGAGGGTGGCAAAAGTTTACCACCAGCTGATAAATTTAATTTCTGAGCAGCTTCATCGGTTAGGGTGTCGTCGAGGGTAATCGATAGATTTGTGTAATCTAAACTGCGGGTATTTAAATTTGTTGGTAATGATAATGTGGACGTCTGATGGTTATGAGAATTATTATTGTCTAGTAGTTCCGATTCAATGGGATGATGGGACTCTATGGCAGTCATATCTAGGGCATATTGTCCTTCGGGTATACCCAATAGTTTGGAACATTTTTGATTTACAAAATGCAAACCGGATGTGTTGCGTATTAATCGGGAGCTTCTTAATTGTAATTGTTCCACTAAATCATTCAGTTCGGCTAAGAAGAGATCAGCCTTCTGATCTTCATTCAGTTGTTGAGATCGTTGCAATTTATTGACGAGAAAACGAAATAATGATATATCTTCAGGATCTGAAGATTTCATAGATGACTGGGCCGCATCTGTAATTTGATTACTTTCAGATGTTTGGTGGTTGTCTGCTACGGTTGGAACTTTTATATGGTCAGGATGTTGAGCAAAATGTCTTTGCAGTCGTTTACCCAAAAATATTTTATGGCAAGTTGGACATATTGCTTCAGAAGGAACTTTTCGTTTAGGTGGTGGTGGTGATGGTGTTGCTGAGGGATTATCATTATCGATAACAGAGTCAGACTCAGTGGCAGTGGAAAGAGTTTTGCTGGGAGATTTGAGAATGCTGGCATCTACTTTACTATTGTGATATGACGTGTCTCTTAAATCATTTAACAAAGTTGGTAGAGACTCTTCTGTTGGATTTTTAGTAGAATGTGATTCCAAAGTAGTTTCCATTCTGGTGGATGGTATTCTAACCAAACGCCCCGATCTAGTTCTTGAATGTGGAATAAGTTTATCTACAGGTTTTTGCGGATTTTCAGTTTGTTGGACTACTGTTTCGTCTTTAGGAGATGTTTTAGTATTGTTTGAAGTATCTTCATCTTCTTTCAGCCTTTTTCTTGGTCTACCAAGTTTGACGGGCTTTTTATCTTTGGTTGCACTCTCATTTCTGGTACTAATTTTTGACTCACTTCCCAAGGATTTCAAATCCAACATATCTGGATGACAAAATCTATAAATAGTTTTTTGATTTGTTCGATGATGTGTCCTAACAATTTCATTGTTATTACGATCAATGACAATGTGATCACGTTTTGCCAGCTTTAAAATATCACATGCCAAACGATGCAGATTATCCAATTCTTTTGGCACATTGTCTACTGATTCATCCAGTTCTTTAGGATCTTTTTCTTTTGATTTGTTTGCATTTTCTTCCCTTGGCACACTGCCTACTGATTCATCCAGTTCTTTAGGAGCACTATCTTCTAATTTATTTACATTATCTTCAGGTGTGAATGTCCTCTCCTTCTTCTCTTTAGTTTCATGTTTAATTTCGTTTACAGATTCTGTCACCTTACGTATTGGATTATGTGATCCACTTTCATCGAAATCATATAAACGTTCAAATTCTTTATCTCTTATAATACATCCACTTTTCTCCAAAGTCGTAATGAAAACATTTAATTTTTGTTGTTGTCTTCTTTTGCGTTCATGAGCATCAACACCCTCTATACGTTTATATATGCCCGGCACCATAAACTTTGAACTCAGTGGCTGTAGTCGATCATGTTCCACAGAGAATAGTAAAGAATCTTCGCCCAAAAGACTTTGTGTTTCAGAGGCCAATAGAAAATCCTCACTATGTGGAAAGAAATCCAAATTGAAAGATTCTGTGGGTTTTGTTTCGTCTGCCTTTTTAGTTTCAATTTTCTTTTGTTGGTCTTCTTTATTTGATTCGTTGGAATATTCTAAATTCTGAAAATAAAATAAAAAGGTGTATTATGTTAGGATCAGATTTCAATAAACATTTTAATTAGGATCAGATTTTTAAGAAATTAAGAAAAAATATTCGTTTTGGGGATACGGTGGATAAGAGAACGTCGTTAACTTGGGCATTAAGTAGACATTCAAAATAAAAAATTCGATTGGGACTTTTATATGATGGCTAGGGCATGATCAATTAGTACCTTGAGCATACGGAAATACTCAAAAATTTGATTGCAAAACGTGGGACCAATTATAATCCAAAATAGCGAAATGAAGCCACTCCCTATTGTGGAAGGATAAATGCCAAAGGAAAGCGATTATAAGAGTTCTAGTTATAATTATAATCCCACAATTTATTTTCAAAGAGGCATTCTGCTCTCTAGCTCTTTACAGCAAACAAGACAGAAGTACACCTCAGGCAGCATTAAACGTGATTCTAAATTTCAGGTCCCTGGACTATTTAGTAAGCCTTTAAGCAATTAGATGTGGCCAGAAATTAAATGACACTGTAGCGTGGTCATAGTTTTCACAATGGTGATCAACCTCATTTTTATTACCAAATAAGACATTTTTTAAACATGTCTTCTACAGTAAAAATCTCACATGTTTACTCTATTTCCTCTATTTCCTTCCGCATCTTCTCTCCTTTTCTATATATTCAAAAAATCGAGAAAACCAAAGGTATCCGAGTGAAACAACCGACCATACATATATATCGGTTTAAACAAATCTATGGAGTATATCTTTATATCATGTAGCCAATATATAAGTTTTGGCTGGAAACCACATGTCTCTCCTATGACACTTTTTATAATTCCTCTATTATTTAAGCTCCACGTCTACCGGTCGTCAAGGATTCGGTCGAAATACTTGATATCTAGAAAAAGCGGAAAATTATAATTTAATATTTGTGGGATATAATTCAAGGCTATTGTATTGGCTCAATTTGACAATAATATAATTGCCGGTGCTATTATAGAGGTATTAGAACCTCACAGTAACACTTCAAGAATGTTATTTTCATATTCTGGCCTCTATACATAATCAAAGGTTCACTCGGAGACCGACCATATATTAAACTAACCTTTGGGGTATATATTTACATCCAATACATCATCTATTTTTTAAACTTCACGTCTACCGGTCGTCACGGATTTATTCGTTCCTTGGTATCCATTACAGGGGTATTATAACCTCACTGTCACTCTTGAAGTATGTCATTTTCACATTCTGGTCTCTATACAAAATTATCAACATTATATACATATATATATATATATATATATATATATCGGCAACACCGACTTGTTTAGAAGACGACCTTCTCCCAAGCGGATGTCACATTACAACATAAAGGGACAATTTGGAACATTTAAAAATTTTTCTTTGACAAAGAACAAAATGCAAGCCAAGCGGCTAAAATTGTAAATGGTGTTTATGGTTCGATACTGTAACAGCCAATTATATTGAATTTTGGCTACGTATATTCCATTCATAAATTTTTGATGTTGAAGATGCACTTCGCACAGGTAGGCCGGTGTCGAAAATGTCGATAAAATCAGAAAAATTATCGAAGTTTACGGCATGTTAGCAGTCGTAACAGGGATGTTAGCAATCGTAGCCCAAGAGCTAAACTGCTAAAAATGTTTTAAACCATTTACAATTGACCAGATTTGACACCAAGCGATTATCATATTTTTCTTGCATTGCAAAATTTCTTTAATGAATATTGGTATCTAGGGAGGATTGTGAAAATCAACGTTATTTTTTTGCAAATATAGAGCAGGACTTCTATGACAGAGAATTATGGAGTTACCTTTAAAATTGCAAAAATCCTAAAACAAAGCGGTGCATATTTGGTCCAAGTCGGACATTTCGAAGCATGTTAAATAAAAGTTCATATAAAATAATGAATTTTTTTTTTCCAACATAATGTGTATGTAATTATTAATGAATCGAGGTAATTATCCTAAGAATCTAACAATGATGTATAAAGGGTAATAGAACATGAACTTTTGCAAATTTCCTTACAAAAGTTGACGATTTCACGTTTCCTCTTTCATGTCTGATTCCAACATTTCAAAGAAGACTTCCACTATCAAGATTGAACTTTCGATGTTCACCTTCTCAACGGGGATTATTGAATGGTCCAGGATATAGATTTAATTTAGCCATGTATCCTAGTCCGTCTATCATGTAGTTTCACACATTAGCTCTTGAAAAGTATCGGCTTTAATTTCTGGCCTCTCTGAAGAAGATTACGATGAAGATCTATCCGACAAATTAACGCACAAAGACCGGAAACTTTACATTTATTCTGTTGCAAGTCCGTGATGACTTCATTTGGATTATAATAGTCATGTCCTAAAGGTATCAACATTTTTTTTTTACAATTTCTAAACATTTTAATATGACCCCGAATTGAATTGTGTAGCACAAGTTTAACCTTGCAATAGATTCTATTTCCAATAACTTTACTTTGAATTATAACAAGTATTCAGAAACACAAGACTGAAATACAATAGCGGTATACGGTTACAGAACACTTTTATAAAACTAAATAATTCACAAATTATTCCCTCTCACCTTATTAAATTTCAGCAAATGTTCAATTTCTTCAAAAATATTCGTAGTTTCCATTTCCTTTTCCATAGATAGAATCTCGTTTTCATGATTTCCAGCTCCATTCTCTGCTCTGTCACCATTACATGCAGATTGTGAACAAACATCTTTATTTAGAAATGCATTGACGTCCAGCGTTATTGACATTAATAATAATTAAATAAAATAAATTAATTTTCTTATTTGACAAAAATATGAAATGTGTGTAAAATGTTTGTAAAAAAAGATGAATGACAAAGAAACGGATAAATAAGGAGAATCAAAACAAAACGAACAATAACAATAGGGATTTAGAGATTGCTTTAATTTCTCGGCATGTTAGGGTTATAGAAATCGTTTTTAGACCAAAAAACATCTGAAACAGTAATGCCAATAAAAATGCATTGTTCATGTATTGTTAATAGATAAAATAAAAAGAAATTTCATATTTACTGTACGACTTGAAATATGCACAAAAAAAAAAAAAAAAATAATAATAATGATTGTGTCAAATATAAAAACATATGCGCAACGGGCTGTTGTATTTATCTGCCATTAACTAAAAACGCGAAAAATGAGCGAATGATTATATTTTCTGTCCGTCTGTCGACAATAATGTCTACCAATAATTAAGACATTTTGCATGTAGTACAATCGATCATACCCTTCACCACACTGTGGTACAGGGTATTATGTCTTTGTGCATATGTTTGTAACAAGCAAAAGGAAACGAGATAGACACATGGTTCTTTTTGAGAATATGCATAGAATCACTTTCTAAGTCGATTTATGCATGTCCGTCCGTCCGTCTGTCCATGTTAAATTGTAAACAAAGTACAGGTCGCATTTATGATCCGAATTGGATGAAATTTGGCATAGGTCACTTATTCGGCCCAAGGACGAACCCTATTGAAATTAGGAAAAATCGGTTCAGATTTAGATATAGCTCCCATATATATATTTAACCGATTTAATGTAAACGGTCCCTATATATCTTTAGATTTGCACGAAATTTGGTACAGCCTAATCATTTAGGTCTAGAATGATGTCTGCCAAGTTTCGTGAAAATCGGTCCAGATTTAGATATAGCTCCCATATATAGTTTCGTCCGATTTCATGTAAATGGTGCCCCAAAGTCCTTATATATCTTTTGATTTGCACGAAATTTGGTATAACGTGCTGAATTAAGCCTAGAGTGATGTATGCCATGTTTGGAGAAAATCGGTCCAGATGTAGATATAGCTCCCATCAGCAACGTACACAGGATTTCATTTCGGGGGGGGCCCGGTAGTACAAAATGAAAAAATTCGCTGTTGCAAACATAAATTTACTGTGAAAAAAATTCATTTCGGGGGGGCCCGGGCCCCCAGGGACCCCACCCCCCCCCTGCGTACGTCCCTGGCTCCCATATATAGTTTGGTCCGATTTTATGTAAATGGTGCACCAAAGTCGCTAAATATCTTTCGATTTGCACGAATTTTGGCATAACGTACTGAATTGAGTGTAGAATGATGTCTGCCAAGTTTGGAGAAAATTGGTCCAGATTTAGATATAGCTCCCATATATACTTTCGTCCGATTTCATGTAAATGGTGCACCAAAGTCCCTATTTATCCTTCGATTTGCACGAAATTTGGCATAACGTACTTAATTGAGCCTAGAATGATGTCTGCCAAGTTTGGTGAAAATCGGTCCAGATTTAGATATAGCTCCCTTTTTTATAGATTGATTTTAAGTAATTGACTTACTAAGGAACCAATAGGAACAAAACGTTCTGAAATTAGTATAACCTAACCTGTGACAAGTTTGTTTGAAATCGCTCAATATTTGGATAGAGCTTCCATATATATTTTCGCCCGATTTCAAGTAAATTGGGCATCAAACTCCTCATGTTAGTCAGATTGACATCAGATTTTGCACAACGTACAAAATTGAGCATAGAATTACGTAGTTGCGTTTTCTAGAAGTACAGACATAGCCCAACGGATGACCTATTTATATTTGTTTGAAGTCGATTGACATACTTTATGGATAGATCTAGGTAGATTCACATTTAGATAAATATCACATTTTTTCATCCAATTTTATGTTATAGTCCTTTTTAATATACCCATAGTGGTGAAGGGTATCATATAGTCGGCCCCGTCCGACTTTACTACTTTCCTTACTGGTTATTAAATTGGAAACAATCCCAAAAGTTGGACTACAGACAGGTGAATGTGGTTAAATTGGTTTTATCAGTTATCCGGTGAT